AATTGTAGCGGAAGTGGATAGCCAATGCATAGTTCAGATGGTTCTTGGGCCCAAAGAGCATTTCGGAGTTCATGAGTCGCTTGTCAGGTCCATAAGAAATTTAATGGGTAGAGCATGGAGCGTTCGGATCCAACATGTGCACAGAGAAGCAAACTTTGCGGCTGATCATATGGCGAGCTTAGCGGCCTCTGCCCCCTTAGGTCTACATAGATTCTCGTCGCCTCCTCATGGCTTGGATGCATGGATTGCCCATGATCTTAGTGGGACGGCCTACGCACGTCAAGTTCTAGTATCCTAGTTTTATTAGGCCTATGGCCTCCGTCTTTGTACCAAAAAAAAAAATGAGTCTAAGCGAATCAAGCTTACAAGCAGTTCGTTCAGTTTAACAACTCTAATATAACATTGTGATTAACAAATATGCATATAAATTGAAAAAATTTCATGGTCTAGTGATATGGGTTTTAAATCCAAAATTTTCATAATCTAATAAAGCAAAGAAATACCTAGGCCCAATGCTATGGGTTTTAAATCAGTTATGGGCCATGGCCCGTTCTTTATCTTTGACAATTGAAGCCCATTCATTTTACGATACATTTTATGCCGTTGAATATTGATAAGGTAATTTATGTTCCTTTGTTGATCATTCAATTGTAAAATGGGAAAATGATACAGTGTCGTTACAAAATCATCCAGTCGTGATTTATAATCGTTAGATCATCGTGTTACTGTCGTGGATAGTTGATCTAACGATTACAAATCCCGACAGAATAGTTTCGTAACGGGACCGTAGAATCTCCTTGTAAAATGATTACACATTTGTATGATATCAGTAATCATAAAATAGCATGAAATGTGAAGTTTAAGATATATATTAATAAAAGGGTTAATTGCATAAAAAACCACCACCTTTTGTTTAATTGCAAATAAAATTCAACATTTTCAATTTGGCAAAAAAATACCTAACTTTTATTAAGTGTTGTAATTTTGTCTCGTCCGCCGGACCGCCGCCGCCGCCAACCGCCATCCGCCGCCGCCAACTTTGCCGAATATTGAAAATTTTTATATGATCTTGTAGATCTCCTCCGTGCCAACAACATATCCGAGTTTCACGAAAAAAAAAATTGAAGACAAGACGTCCAATTTTCGGTCAAAGGTCGTAAAAAATTTAGATCTACGACCTTTGACCGAAAAATTGGACGTCTTATCGTCGAAACTTTTTCGTGAAACACGGATATGTTGTCGGCACGGAAGAGAGCTACAATATCATATAAAAATTTTCAATATCCGGCGAAGTTGACGGCGACGGGTGGTGGTTGGCGGCGGCGGTCCGACGGACAAGACAAAATTGCAACACTTAATAAAAGTTAAGTATTTTTTTGCCAAATTAAAAAGATTTAGTTTTATTTACAGTTAAACTACCTTTTATATGCAATTAACCCTTAATAAAAAGAAAACAAGAGGCTTAATTAGCACCATGTTTTTCTTTTGTTTTCTCATTTGGAGGTCAAAAACATTCTTCTCAGCACACAGAAAACCAAATGAAGCCCATCAATATTTCCAACATGTAGTATTATTCTTCTTTTTCCAATGCAACTGTCAAATATTATATAATCCAATCCTTTGTTCAAGTCAAATTATACGACTTTAAATATGGATTGGCCTCTATACAAATGTCATACACACAAATAATTAAAGAAAAAATAGAAATATAATCAATATTTTCTTGTTGAGATATATATATACATTTTTCTCTTGTAAGTTAGATATTAAATTTAATCCTATCTTAGTAACACTTTTCAAAAGAGGAATAAATGGGGCGTTGGATGAAACCAGAGGTATGTGTGCATCTTTTTTTTTTTTGCCTTTTGATATCCAATTTTGATTTTGGTGTGGGATATATAGAAAATAAAAAATGATTTTTTTTAATAAAATGTATTATTAAGTGTTTTTCTTAATTAAAAATCTATAGTATTTTTTTTAAATAAAATACAATTCGAATTATATAAACATCTATATTTTGTTACCTCGTACATTTTGATGAACATACACATCTAGCACTGTCAAACGGGCCGGTCCGGTCCGGCCCGCTCCGGCCCGCGCTAGCCCGCGGTTCAAACGGGGCGGGCCAAAATGGCCCGCATTTTTACGGGC